TGGAGAAGTATTGCGTCATTTATAAGAATTGCTCAAAACGGTGTTCCTCAGCTGCTGAACAGTAAGTAAGTCGATCTTCAAAACTCCTACTCGTGTTGATCAGCATTTGAGGTGAAATCCGAAGGGATTGGCTGCTCCATTGCGTTTCTGTTTGCATAGGGTATTGTTCGAATAAATCTCTAAAGGAAAAAATTGGTCTAAAGAGTTTAAATAGTACTTCCCTCGCTGTCGGAAACGTTAACTGAAGGTCAGTTGATGATTTTAAAATCCATATCCACGACATAAATATAACAATATTTTTAATAATTTTCAAGTGTTGGTCTCGCTGAAAGTAAAACTATTTCTATAAATGATTAAAAATGTTGTATAATTGGAAAGCGAGAAGCGAGTAAGGCAAGGATGCATCGGGCACTTGAGACAGTTAGATAGGATGAATAAATTTCGACCGCTTAGTTTTATTTATAAACAACGACGTCATAGCGAAACGCATCTGTGCGTGATGTTCGACGTCCCGCATGCTGTTGAATGCGCCAATGTCATCAAAAAAGGTTATGAGTGCAAAAATTTATTTACAGCACATTATCAACGGGAATTCATTTCATCGGAAGAATGTCACCTAGACATTATTGTTTGATTTGAATGAGTTTATCACCCCAAAACAGATGACTAAAATTATTCATAAGTCTCCATTGAACAAAATATTCTGAATGTTATTATTATAATTCTTACCTTATCATTATTTTATTGTTATAAAGACGAGCGTATTCTCACATTTTCCAGAAAATGGGGTGGCTCGTTCTTAATTTCATCAATAATAAATAATTGACTGATTCATTAATTTTTTTGACTCGCCTGTTTAAGTAAATCCAAAATATATGAATGCAATGATTAAAAGTCTGTTCATATTGTGCACATTTCCGAAAGAATGTATTCGGCAAAATTTTGAAGTGCCGTAATACATTTTTTGGGGTTGATAAACAGATACATTTTCATTAAAAAGTTACCATGCTTACAATAACTTCAAAACGTCAAGATTTCAAAGTATTCAGTTTTGCAATTCTTGATTTAATTAATAAAATAAATTGACTCAGTCATTAATTTTTTTCACACACCCCGTATAAGCAAATCTAAGAAATATTTATGTAGTGAAAAATCACAATTATTGACTCATCATACTATGCAGAATGCACATTTGAGATAGCATTTTTTCGGAAAATGAAAATTTTGGGGTGGCGTGATAATTTTTTTAGGGGGGGATCAGGAAATATATTTTGACTAAACATTTACCATGCCTATGATAACTGCAAAACATCTCCAAGATTTCAAAGCATTCACGCATTTATTAATTTTTTTGAGTCACCCTGTACATGCAAATCCAAAAAATAGGAATGGAATGTTAAATTACAAGTACAGACTTACCATATTTTCTACATTTTAGATAGGATTTATTCGGCAAAATTTTGAAGTGCCGTAATAAATTTTTTGGGGTTGATAAACAGATACATTTTCATTAAAAAGTTACCATGCTTACAATAACTTCAAAACGTCAAGATTTCAAAGTATTCAGTTGTGCAATTCTTGATTTAATTAATAAAATAAATTGACTCAGTCATTAATTTTTTTCACACACCCCGTATAAGCAAATCTAAGAAATATTTATGTAGTGAAAAATCACAATTATCGACTCATCATACTTTGCAGAATGCACATTTGAGATAGCATTTTTTCGGAAAATGAAAATTTTGGGGTGGCGTGATAATTTTTTTAGGGGGGGATCAGGAAATATATTTTGACTAAAAATTTACCATGCCTATGATAACTGCAAAACATCTCCAAGATTTCAAAGCATTCACGCATTTATTAATTTTTTTGAGTCACCCTGTACATGCAAATCCAAAAAATAGGAATGGAATGTTAAATTACAAGTACAGACTTACCATATTTTCTACATTTTAGATAGGATTTATTCGGCAAAATTTTGAAGTGCCGTAATAAATTTTTTGGGGTTGATAAACAGATACATTTTCATTAAAAAGTTACCATGCTTACAATAACTTCAAAACGTCAAGATTTCAAAGTATTCAGTTTTGCAATTCTTGATTTAATTAATAAAATAAATTGACTCAGTCATTAATTTTTTTCACACACCCCGTATAAGCAAATCTAAGAAATATTTATGTAGTGAAAAATCACAATTATCGACTCATCATACTTTGCAGAATGCACATTTGAGATAGCATTTTTTCGGAAAATGAAAATTTTGGGGTGGCGTGATAATTTTTTTAGGGGGGGATCAGGAAATATATTTTGACTAAAAATTTACCATGCCTATGATAACTGCAAAACATCTCCAAGATTTCAAAGCATTCACGCATTTATTAATTTTTTTGAGTCACCCTGTACATGCAAATCCAAAAAATATGAATGGAATGTTAAATTACAAGTACAGACTTACCATATTTTCTACATTTTAGATAGGATTTATTCGGCAAATTTTTGAGGTGACATCATCAATTTTTTGGAGGGGACAGGTAAATATATTTTGTATAAAAACTTATCATGCTTATCATAACTGTAAACCATCTGCAAGATTTCAAAGCATTCTGTTCTGCAGATTCTAAATTAAATGTCAAAATGTTGTTTCCTAATTTTGATTTTTTGTCCAAAAATCTGGACGTTTCGGGTAAAATCTCAATTCGGAGTCATAAACTACATGTGTAAGACTATGTTATTTGATACAATTTAAAACCCATTTATTATGTAGTATTTTGAAGTGACGTCATCACCTTAGTAGTGGGGATGAATAGACAAATTTTGGTTAGCGTTTTACTATCTAGATAATATACCTAATATAAGTGCGAAATTTGACAACAATCGGCCCAGTGCTTTCGGAGATTAACTGTCTAATAAAAATCCTGGACGGCAGACAGACGGACAGACAGACGGAAACGGAAAGGGGAGACCTATTTCTTTGTCCTCTAGGGGTCATGATAGGTCGAGAAAATGCAAACCTAGAGAGTCGGCCTCGATTACAATACTTCCTTTGCTTACGCTCGGGAACTAAAACTCACAAGGATTTAAATCCTATGAAAACGCAGGCAAATGGGTCGGTCCGAAGTTTTAAATAAATAACATCTATGCGAGCCATATGGTTGGAGACCTCGTCCTGTATGTAAAAGACCTGCTGTAGATGCCGCATCCTTCGAAACCCAGATAGTTTTTTTCTGAGCTAGTACTTATATCGTCGTACTTCTGGGCATTCAATCCAAATTCGAAGAAATAAGGTCCAATGACATGATGGCCTAGAAATCCTATCGACACATTGACAGTTGCACGCCATTGTTGGTCAAGAACCACGTAAGGGTTCTGTAATGCCCAAATTCGATTCTGACGATTAGAATCTGCTATAAGACCAAATGGACTTTCGGCAGTGAAACAAATGTTCCTCAAAAAGTCTCCAGCAGTCCAGATTCTCTCAAGCGTCCCTTCGCAAAACCTGTGAGAAGTAGTCCTCAGGCTTTAATGTTTGGTATGATGCCTTTTGAAACCCTTGTATCCCATCTGTTTCAGATCCCTAGCAACTCTGCCTACTTGATTTTATTTAATCTTGGTGAAACTCAATATTCTACATTTCTCTCACAAAAATTTCTTGTAACGAACATGCTTCCAGGCGGCAAAAATTTCATCCCTGCTTAACGGATGTTAAATCAAATGTATTCCAATCTTTCGAGGAAAAAAAGTGAAATTTACCCAAAATTGCCAAAAAGCCTTTAGCCGTATAAATTGATTCCAGTACATTTCTCTGTTATTTAAAATAACAAATAATATTTAAGCATGGAAGTATGTCTTCCCAAGCTACAAAAATGAAGAAACAAGGACATTGTCATGAAAGTTATTACTTACTGATTAAATTCGCCGTTGAAGGACAAGTAGGCTCTTGCTTTTTCATCTAATGGCTGTAGAGCATAGCATTTTAATGAGATTTTAGTAACAAAAACTCGACCGGCACTAGCAACATAATTTACAATATTTTAAGCAATTTGTGCATTTATTCCATTTAAACTGACCTACAATAATCATCATATTGCTTAAAATCATTCAATTTCAGTTGTTCAGTGATTACTGAGATAGCGCGAGTAAATCCCTAGCTTGACGGGTCCCCAGGACGTGTCACGATGCTACCGATGGAGGTGTTGAGAAAGGCGAGCTGCTCGAAGGGCTTCATCCCGGGCTTCTTGGATATGGCCTGGGTGTAGTCCTACAATAATCATCAGCATCACATTGGATAAAATAATTCAATTTGAGTCGTTCAGGGATTTCTGAGTGAGAATCGAGGAATAATTTCCAAAATCGCTTTGACATTTCGATTTTTCGTGGCTAATCCAAAGACTCGATCGTCGAACTGCGACGGAACGATTTGAAAAAGAATACCGGCCGATAGCCCTTCTTTACCTCCACAAATGCATCACTCAATAATAGCTTTAAAGTGATCTGGAGAGATATTATAAAATAGAGTAAAAACCAATTCCCAATATTAACTCCTATGTTAAAATTTTAATGCGGCATCCTTTTTTTTCTGTTATTGTTTTAGGAACTGTGCAACTATTTATTAACTTCCCACGGGAGATCTCTGCATTCCAGTGTGTTCATCGCCCACGATGCAAAACCGAAAATTTGATTAAACTTCTCCACTCTCCTTGATCGCTTCGCGCTACTTGTTTCGGTCCTGCATCGCCTTTTGTCGTTTTGTCTTGGCCAAGAATTCCAATAGCGATAAGACCTCACTCAACCCTAAGATCATCCGCGATGAAAATATCCGGAAATCGTTTGTGACCGCGTCCAAATCAATTTGTCTAGATCTAAGAGGATGTCATAGGTTAGTTGCGGCTGTCCAAGCATCGCCAGCGTCCTTGACGTCACCGTTTGTGTATTTCTTGCGTGAGAATGCGCGACGCCGAAGTCCGAGCCGCACGCTCATCAGTTAGCGTCTACGTGTCGGCGTCGCTGGGCGTCCGTCGAGTGCTTCAGTCCTCGTCCGTAACGAACTTTACGCAAAAGAGGAAATAAAGTGTCGATGGAGTAAAGTAAGTTTGCTGTATTATCTGTGGCAGTGGGAAAATATGTTCTTTCGCGCCGGAGAATTTTCTTCAAGTTGACGACTTTCTTTTACATAGTTTGAGAGTTTGTTTAATTGAGGAGGTATTTTAAACTTGCTTGGTGGAGTTACACAATTTGTAAGACTGCATTCTGTAATTAAAGCTGCGAAAACATTGTCAAGATGTTCATTGAAATTACTTTTTTTTTTTGTCAAATGTTAAAACTACGGTACAGCAAATGTCAAAAAAATGTATAGCAACAAATTCCGTGTTCTTGGTAGCTTCAGTTCTTCATAACAAAGGTCAGTAGTTTTTGTGTTATCGTAATATTAGTCATTATATGAATTTAAGGTGGGAGGCAATGAATCTCAGAATTTATGAAACAGGTGTATAATATTTTGTTTACTATTAAAGATATCGATATAAGTACTATAAACGCGAGTTTACTGTTACGCTGAATAGCGTGCTAAAATGGCGCAAATATATAATAGTAATAATGACCCCTGCATGCTGCGCCAAAATTCTTATTACAGATGGAATCATATAATTTTTGGAACAGATTGCAGTCAAATTAAATTTTACGTTTTATATATATAGTTTTTTAAATTGTTTACGGATAAGTTCCCCATTTAGTATAATTTTTCTGGAATCTGGGTAGCTGCCAATGTCAGAACTAACTCTAGGACATTAAATCACAATTTGTTTTATCTTTTTTCGTTTTCGAGATTTGGAGGCGGGCAAACAAAATCCGAAGGTCTTTCCTTGAAGAGGCCACTACAAAAAAAAAGGATACTATCGAAGTATAAGGAATATCGATTTTTGAATGTCCTTAAAATAAATTAGTTTTAATAATAATTGAAATTTACAGCAGTATTCTGTTGAATAATAGTGTCAAAGAAAGATTACAAAATTAGATTTTTTTAAGATAGTGTGTGTTTTATTTTCTTCTACTAATTAATCGTTCCGCTGATTGGTAGAAAAAAATCTATAAAATGACTTCATCCTTGGCATTACATCTGTGTTGGTTTCTCTTGAAATGAGATTAACTTTTTTCAGGTGGAAGAGGGTACATTTTTAAGTGCGCCATTTTTTTGTGTTGCGTTGTGTTTGAGAGAACACTTTATTCTAAAGATTTTTGGTAAATAATTTTTAAATTTTTATAAAAATGAAATTGTGAACTTGAAGAACTTGAAACTTGAATATCCTAGAATTTTTTGGGGATTTTTAGGCAACTCTTAAAAAAATCTCATTTTTTCTCCAGCCGTCTTAAAACATGACACTTTTAATGACAATTTCAACACTAAAAGTAGACATTGTTGTAATTAGGAAAAACAACTTGCGTTGCTAAGGCAACATTCACTTTTAGTCCTAGGATTTAAATGTCTTTTAAATGCTAGGATTAAAAACAAATAATAAATAATCTCAAACTATATTTTTTCGTCAATTTTGAAAATATTAATAATGTTGTCTTTAATATTTTATAATTTTATTAATAATGAAACACATTTCATAATTTCCAAATTTTAAAATGTATATTAAATGTAAAATTAGAACAACTTTCAGAAAAATAAATTAACGATTTGCCAGTATTATTATCCCTTGTAATAGCAGTGTTAACAATGTTCGTCAATGTTGCTGCTATTTCATTGTCAGTTACGTCTTTGGTTATATTTACTTCATTGCTCCTCGATGGTTTTTGGGGAATCACTTCACTCGTACTCGCTTCATCTAACCGAAAAATTTTTCGCGCCACATTTTCCGTGTCAATCAGACTATTGATTCCATTTTCATTACAATTTTTTTTTTAATTTAATCATTTCTCACTTTTGTGATATAGTTTTGGAAATTTCATTCTACCCTATAAAATTTTATTGAGAATATGGCTCACACCAGTTCACCCGAATTTGTCGGTGAACATTTAGCAGGTAGTTATACTCTTAAAATAATGGTTATTTTCGTTCCTGAGGAAGGATGGTCTCTGTTCGGACCTGGATTATTCTGCTTTCTGACATCTGGGGATTACCGGCACGTGATAACTTAAGTTGTAAATATCTTTTGCTATTGTACTACTGTCCGTCTCGTTATTGCCAATAAAATTTTATAGGGTAGAATGAAATTTCCAGAACTATACATTAATGGCTGGAGAAAAAATAGCATGTTTCATTTGGATTAAAAGTGGTGTTTTTTTGGTGACCAAAATTTTGAATTTGCTAGCCGTAAATTCAAAATTTTGCTCACAATTATTTACGATTATTTCTGCTTATTTGATAGCTTGCCTAATTTTTGAAATGCAAAAAAATAATTCCTAGTGTTTTGTAATTAAAAAAAACAACATACAAAATAATTGGGCCTGGGTTTTTTATACCACCTGAAATAAAATCCAAGAATTTCAACTTCTTTAAAAAATTATAAAATTAAAGTAACCTTTATATTTTAAAGTGGAAATATGTATGTATTTACAAAGTACAAGCAAACCAGTCACAATGTAAGAAAAAAAAATGGTCGTAGTTTAATTCGATAGAACTTCCCTCGTCTTTGAAGTACAATCCAACAAATTTCGCTTCTTTGAAAAATTATAGAAAATTTGTCTTTTCTAATAACCTTTATATAGTAACAACCAGTGGTTTAAATGACACCTCGAACCCCCTGCGCCGCGGGAGTGCAAATTCCAAGGAGGTGTCATCCGCAGATATACAAAAAATATCAAATGTATTTAATAGTAAATAACCGACGGAAAATATTGTATTATTATCAGTGTACATGCTTAACTCGATTGTTTCTTTATGTTAATACATCGAAAGATTGTCACGTAGGAATTTGTTTAATTTGAATGAGTTGTCTCCTCAAAACAGAAGACTAAAATTGTTAATTAAGCCACAATGGAACAAAATGTTTGAATATTATTATTCTTATTTGATGAAAATGGAATGACTCGTTTTTAATTTAACCAATAATAAATTGGTCATGACGTCATCAACATGGATAATTCTAGTCACACCACAAAATAAAAGTAGTCACAGCGTTATACCAACGCAAGAGAAAAAAAGGAAAGGGCCAAGTTTGGTATCGTTCTCTCCGGTACACCCACTGCGCCACCGCGACGTACAAACCGTGTTGGGAATAAAACGTTATTATACCTTGCACATATTTTTGCGAAAATTTTAACGTTTAGCGAAAAATTTGAAAGCGGATTCGTACACTACATGAAAATGCGTATATTTTTGCTGTAGGGGGTCATGAAACGTCGAGAAAACATAAAAGTGACAATTCGTCCGATGGACTCGATTACAATACTTCCTTCATTTACGCTCGGGAAGTAAAAATCAATTTTCCATAATAAAATTTTGTTATGACGGCATCATTCTGCAATGAGTGGAGTTTACTTTATCTAACATTTCAAGTAAAAGTCGTCGAACACTTTGCGTTATTTTATATATTGGTGAAAAAATAAAAAATAATAAAGCAAGTGTGGCTTAAGTATTGTGGTGAATTTTTTACTGCTGCATCAACTTTGAAGGAGATGAATAAATGAAGAATACTAAAACGCGAATATAAGTATTTCTAATAAACTTTTAATTATTTTTGGGACATCAAGTTTCTGGAGCGGACAAATAAATCAATGTCTTGCCAAAATAAAAAAAAAATCGTTACATGAGTCCTAAGACAAATTGGAAAATTTCATTTTAAAGATTTTATTTTTTTAGGTTAACTTACAGGCGTATAAGTTAATAATGTAATTACGAATATATTAATACACCACAAATAACAGAGTATGTTGGAATATAAATTTCAAGGGAGATTTACTTGTTAAAATTTTAAAATGAACGTCTTTAAATTTTTGGTGCAGATGAGTACATAAAGTTTAGGTTGCGTTTTACAAACTACACGGAAATTTTAAAAGTAGATGAAAAATTAAGTCTATACATATGCATATTATCAAACCGCAAACCAATTTGTCGCAAACTTTGATAATTTTTGAAACGTCATCAAATTTTTGGTGGAGATGAGCAAATAATTGTTTCCTTTTACAATCTACACGAAAATCCCAAAGTTTACAAAAATGAAACATATTGTTACGAAACAAACCCATACGTCGCCCCGGTACGACGCCTATGGGTCTTCTAGTATGTATGTGTTTACTCCCGAATGTACGGCGGTGACGACTCATCGAGATGGGCCCCAGAAAACCCTCGAAGCGGCGTTGTCGAGCCATCGAGAGGAACGTATAGGTTTAAATAGAGGCGACCCGACCGTCGGAACGATGATTACTCAGTCAGCAAGTCGAGTCCAGTGAGCGAATTCATTCAAGTTGAGTCGGAATTATTTTGTACATAATCGCTGTGTAGTCAGTCGTGTAAATTTGAGTTGTTAAGAAATAAATTGTTGAGTTTTACCCACGCCGGTTTTTAAACACCCGTACAACGTAACAAAATTTCATCAAAACGCAAACTTATTTTCACAAATCTTTAATAATTTTTCAGGGGACAAATAAATACGTATTAAACACATATTAAGTTGAATAAGTGCAATGTACTACTAATAATAACAGTACTTTATTCTCAAAAGAATGAAGCGTTCTAGACTATCGTATCGTAATCGAAGATCGAATTATGTGTCTAGACAACAAGACAGATGAAATGATAAAAATTACTTACTCCTATTTGACAAATTTTGGTTAGCGTTTTACCATCTACATAATACTCCTAAAGTACGTATAAAATTTTACGACAATTGGTCTAGTAATTTCAGAGATTGTCTGTAAAATAAAAATCCATACACAGGATATACACCCGTAAAGGAAAGACTACTTTTTCCTACTTTAGGGGTCATGAAACGTCGAGAAAACATGACACTAGTCTCAAAACAAAATTTTATCCAACCCTGTTAATAATACTTTTCTATTTGAAAAGAGAAATGTCACCGTGGAAAAGGTAAAGTAGGACACTTGGTATTAAAACAAAAAAATATTTGTTGTCTCAAAATTTTCA